GACTTCGCCCACAACCGAGGCTCTGCAATCTCGTTCGGAGTGCTTGCAATGAGTCCGAAGCTTGTTAACTTTTCTTCAACCATCCAGACTTGGCCCACAACAAACCAAGGCTCTGCGATCTCGTTCGAGTACTTTTAGATGTATTTGTATCTTGTTCGGAGTCAATCATCGGCCTTCAACAAATTCCGCCACCGGGACTCGAACCCGTCGCTCGGGTGAGCCAGCTAGTAGCAGATCTTGCAATGAGTCCGAAGCTTGTGAACTTTACTGCAACCATCCAGACTTGGCCCACAACAAACCAGGCTCTGCGATCGTTCGGAGTACTTTTAGATGGTGTTTGAATCTCGCCTTCAACAAATTCCGCCACCGGGACTCGAACCCGGGTCGCTCGGGTGAGGACAGTATCCTAACCAGCTAGACTATAGCGGATCTTGCAAAGAGTCCGAAGCTTGTTAACTTTATTTCAACCATCCAAGACTTCTCCCACAACCGAGGCTCTGCGATCTCGTTCGGAGTACTTTTAGATGGTGTTTTGAATCTCGTTCGGAGTCAATCATCGGCCTTCAATAACAAATTCCGCCACCGGGACTCGAACCCGGGTCGCTCGGGTGAGGGCCGAGTATCCTAACCAGCTAGACTATAGCGGATCTTGCAATGAGTCCGAAGCTTGTTCACTTTACTTCAAAAATCCAGACTTCTCCCACAACCGAGGCTCTGCGATTTCGTTCGGAGTGCTTTTAGATGGTGTTTTGAATCTTCTTTGGAGTCAACCGTCGGGTCGCTCGGGTGAGGGCCGAGTATCCTGTCCTAACCAGCTAGACTATAGCGGATCTTGCAATGAGTCCGAAGCTTGTTAATTTTACTTCAACCATCCAGACTTCGCCCACAACGGAGGCTCTGCGATCTCGTTCGGAGTGCTTTTAGATGGTGTTTTGAATCTTTTTTGGAGTCAACCGTCGGGTCGCTCGGGTGAGGGCCGAGTATCCTAACCAGCTAGACTATAGCGGATCTTGCAACGAAGCTTGTGAACTTTAGACTTGGCCCACAACAAACCAAGGCTCTGCGATCTCGTTCGGAGTACTTTTAGATGGTGTTTTGAATCTCGCCTTCAACAAATTCCGCCGCCGGGACTCGAACCCGACCCCGGGTTGCTCGGGTGAGGGCCGAGAATCCTGACCAGCTAGACGATAGCGGATCTTGCAATGAGTCCGAAGCTTGTTAACTTTACTTCAACCATCCAGACTTCGCCCACAACCGATCCGCCACCGCCTTGAAGCAACCGCAAAAGGCATTAGCACAAGTACACAACCAAAAGAAACAAAATTCCACTTCAAAGCAAAGATTTTCAGAAAGAAAACCTCACACCTTGAAGCAACTGCAAAAGTTTGAAAGAACTGCGGATCGACAAGTCGACCCTGGGCAAATTTGTTCCCACTATTACTACTACTACTACTACTACTACTACTACTACTACTACTACTACTACTACTACTACTACTACTACTACTACTACCACTACTGCTACTGCCACTGCTACTACTACTACTACTACTGCTACTACTTCTACTACTACTACTACTACTACTCCTACTACTACTACGGCACAACTACCACGACTACCACGACTACTGCTACTACTACCACTACTACTACTACTACTACTACTACTACTACTACTACTACTACTACTACTACTACTACTACTACTACTACTACTACTACTACTACTACTACTA